TGCACTACTCCTAAACTTATATGTATAGTGTATATGTATATACTTAAAATATACACATAAATCATAAATAAGTATAATACCATAAATTGCAATCAAAATGAATGTGCATATATATTTAATCATCAATCTACAAAAAAAATATTGATAATAAATAGTCCAATCAAAAATTATATTAGCAATCCACGAGTTTGTTGCATGTAACTCTGTGCTCCGCCAAAAAGGTGTAAGAACACTCGCTTACCTGACCAGGGGACCTATATTGATATATAGATCAGAATACACTTTATTTAACCATCTGGTGATATCTCCAATACAATACACAATACTAGACAGGTTCCTTTTAATTCACCGGCAGGTCCCTTTAACATCCTACACATTCTTTCATTCATCTATTTAAAATACTTAGAGGAAAAGAAGAAGCCTCTAGTGCAGTACCATTTATTAATATTTTAAAATAAAGAATCACAATATAGCACACTCACATTTCAGATATGAGTCGCAGACTCATTACTAGTATTAAAAAAAGCATACTTCAGACTTCAGCTCCGGACTGGAAGTGACATGACTCGGCTCCGCCTTACACATCACTTGCCCATGTGACTTCCTCAGGAAGTTATTAAATTATTAAAAAATCAGTTTTAAGGCAGCTGGAGAATACTTTTATTTAAACATAAAGCAAAGTAAAAGTTCCAACAAAGTCCCCCTGCAGGGGTTTCAACTTCACAAAGCAAACAGTGAAAAATGCTAAGCCACCTGCCTCCTTTGTTAGCAGTACCACTACTCTCTTTGGTCTCCCAGAAAATAGGTTCTTCTGGCTCACTCAGCCTTGGTTGGAGCACCTCACTGCACAGATTCACTCCTGGCCCCTAAATGGGGTTATGCAGTCCCTCTTCCAGAGGTTTTCAGACTTCCTCCAGCCCCCTGGACCTGCTACCTGCTTTAGATTTCTCAAGCTCCCAGACCTTCACCTAGTCTCCTAGACTTGCTTAGCTGTCCCTATTCTCCCAATCCTTGGTCAAGGAATCCACCTCACAAGGGATGCAGCATCCTACAGGAACACCCAGCTCTCTTGACAAGGCTCTGTCATCAAATGGCAGCAAATGCAACTCCTACTGCCCTGAGCTACTCTCTGGCTTATAATGACCGTACACACCTGTGCACTCACACAGACTGCAGGTGTATCGCAAAATCCAAACACAGAATTGAAGGTTCCATCCCACCAAAGACACTCTGGAGCCATCAAACTCCAGGCCCTGAACCGGGATTACAAATCCCAGAAAAAGCTCAAAGCACAGCTTTCTCCACTCATAACAAATACTCTGGAGCTTCACATTAACCTTAATGTAAATCCCTTGTAATTTTACCTAAATTTGCATAGTGGCAGGGCCTCGCACTGTCATAGTAGATTGAAACATAGTTATTAACAGAAACAGCTGTGTATGAGGCTTACAACTGGGTGAGGAACAGTCAAATGCTGCTACTAAGGTGAGGCTGTAGAAGATAGTTTCATTTCACAGGTCATACACCATGGCAAGACTGAGCACAGCAACAAGACACAACGTAGTTATACTACATCAGTCAGATCTCTCCAAGCAAGCATTTCAAAGCAGACTGGGGTGCCGCTCAAACTTTTTTGAAAAAGCACAAAAAAACGGGCAAAGTTGAAGGCTGTAGACGGCAGTAGCCAACCAAGGAAACAATGCAGCAGATGAAAGACACATCATGCTTATTTCCCTTCAGCACTGGAAGAAGCAGTGCTATCAGCACAGAACTGATGGAAACCAGTGGGACCTAGGGGTGCAGAAAAATAGCAGTAGGTGCTCTGGACTGATGTGTTAAAATTTGAAATATTTGGCTGTAGCAGGAGGCAGTTTGTTTTTGAAGAGCTGGAAAGTGGTACAATAATGAGTGCCTGCAGGCAACAAAGAAGCATGGTGTAGATTCCTTGCAAGTTTGGGACCTTTATGCAAATGAGTTCAAAATTTGGTCAAGTTGATGGTGTCCTCAATGCTAAGAAATATAGGCAGATACTTATCCATCGTGATTCGTGATATACCATCTGGGAGGAATTTGATTGGTCCAAAAGTTATTCTGTAGCAGGACAATGACACCAAACATACAGCCAATGTCATTAAAAAAAATATATTCAGCATATAGTATACCAAAGAGCCCTGGAAGTGATGGTTTGGCCTCTAAAGAGCCCTGATCTCAACATCATTGTGTCTGTCTGGGATTACATGAAGGGATAGAAGGATTTGAGGCAGTCTACATCCACAAAAGATCTATGGTTAGTTCTCCAAGATGTTTAGAACAACCTACCTGCTGAGTTCCTTCAAAAACTGTGTGCAAGAGTACCTAGAAGAATTGAAGACAAAGGGGGGTCACTCAAATGTTCTTTTGATTTGGATTTCTCCTGGTTTTTTCAACTTTGGTAATTGATAAAAACAAACTATTAATATTTCAATTTCTGAAATCATTCCTAATTTGGGTCACGACAAATGTTCTTTTGATTTGGATTTCTCCTGGTTTTTTTTTCAACTTTGGTAATTGATAAAAACAAACTAGTAATATTTCTATTTCTGAAATCATTCCTAATTTACATCATATTTTCACACCTACTCAAGAATTTTGCACAGTAGTGTGGGTCTAACTAAATACATATGTACAAAATTCAGAATTAAAGAGACTAAAGTTCATTACATATTGTGAAGAAATATATATATATCACCGTGATCACAATCCACCACCAGAAAAAATAAATAAACTCACCAGAGCTAAATCCTGATTAAATTATAAACCAGCATTAGCACTGTTGCTCTGGGAGCGATGGTAATAAGGTGTATCCAGACTTTAGTTTAGCAAAACTCTGTAGCCAATTGGGATATCCAAACTCTGGGAGTAATACTCTGCAGCAACACCAAGCCAATGGGTAAGGAAACCTTTTATCAGATCATCTTCTCCATTGTAATCGTAGAACCACACTCAGGATTATAAATAAAAGGCATGATGGTGCAACGTGTTTTAAAATTAATGACATTTATTCAAACAGCTAAAAAAACTCACAAACAAGGTGTCACGCCGACACCAGCATGATCAGCATTAACGATCCGCAATAGACCACAAAGGATAGACAAGTCCCGCTTGCCGCAAACACCGCCGACAATACCAGGGAGCGTCCTGACGTCACACCTATCCAAGCTCCGCCCTATGCGTTTCATCACAAGGACATCCTCATAGGACGTCCTCCTTACCCATTGGTTTGGTGTTGCTGCAAAGTATTACTCCCAGAGTTTGGATATCCCAATTGGCTACAGAGTTTTGCTCCTAAAGTCTGGATATACCTTATTACCATCGCTCCCAGAGCAACAGTGCTAATGCTGGTTTATAATTTAATCAGCATTTAGCTCTGGTGAGTTTATTTCTTCTGGTGTTGGATTGTGATCACGGTGATATATATATATTTCTTCACAATAAGTTACAGAGTGAATTTTTTTGGACTTGACACATGGACTTTTTTGTTAAACTTGCACCATTCAGTGTTTTTTCTTGATTGAGTTATTATATAGCACATTCCTATATTTTTTTTATAATATCTATACCTTGTATTTATGGTTTTAGGTTTGCTGCTTATATTTATATAATTTTTATTTTTTCTAATTTGGCGCTTTTCTAATTTGAAATAAAGTTCATTACACACTCAAAATTACTCCTGATTAGATGCCCATTGAATTTCTTAAGAGACTTACAGTACATTCCCACTTTTTCTTTTATTTATGGGGAGGGAAAAATCATAAATTAATCAGAACTATACTGACCTTTCCAAAGATGAAATTGGGTTCCCAGGTCCTTTGTAATACCAAGCAGTGATCCATCTGACAAGATTTCAAGACTGGTGCACCAAAAAGACAGAAAACCCAGGATCGGGTTGGAACAATTCTTTTCTTGTTCCCAGTCAAGGGTCTGTCATGGGTAGACTGAATTTTCACTATACATCTCAAATCAAAAAGGATGACATTCCCTCTTTTTATGAGACTGACTTATAAGACTCATGCAATTGAGATTGTATCTTAGACCAAATACCCAATGCCTCTCAGGGTATCTACACTAATACTTCTTTTGAAACACTGTGTTTAAACAAATCCCATATACAACATTCAATGTCTCTATTATACTCCATTCAGAAGAACATACACAAGATTCTAACTTTCTTCATAAATGGGAATAAGGCTTACATACTAGCTTTGCTCAGAATCAAATAAATTAAATTCCCTCTATGCACATAAAGCCCCTTTAGCAAACTCCTATCAAGAGAACAGATAAAAGATTCTAAAATGCTGGTACAAAACACCCCCCCCCCACACCAATTACTACATAAAATGTACCGAAAGGTATCACCCCGTTGCTTCCCGTGTTAATAATGTAATGTAAGGGAAGACTCTTACATACACTATATTGCCAAAAGCATTGGGATGCCTGCCTTTCCATGCACATGAACTTTAATGGCATCCCAGTCTTAGTCCATAGAGTTCAATATTGAGTTGGCCCACCCTTTGCAGCTATAACAGCTTCAACTCTTCTGGGAAGGCTATCCACAAGCTTTAGAAGTGTGTCTATAGGAATGTTTGACCATTCTTCCAGAAGCACATTTGTGAGGTTAGGCACTGATGTTGGACAAGAAGGCCTGGATCGCAGTCTCTGCTTTAATTCATCTCAAAGGTGTTCTGTTGGGTTGAGGTCAGGCCAGTCAAGTTCCTCCACCCAAAACTCACTCATCCATGTCTTTATGGACCCTGCTTTGTGCACTGGTGTGCAGTCATATTGGAAAAGGAAGGGGCTATCCCCAAACTGTTCCCACAAAGTTGGGAACATGAAATTGTCCAAAATGTCTTGGTATGCTGACAGCTTAAGAGTTCCCTCTTAAGCTGTCAGCATACCAAGACATTTTGGCCAAGCCCAGCCCTGAAAAACAACCCCACACCATAATCCCCCTATATCAAACTTTACACTTGGCACAATGCAGTCAGGCAAGTACCATTCTCCTGGCAACCGCCAAACCCAGACATGTTCAGGGGATTGCCAGACAGAGAAGTGTGATACGTCAATCCAGAGAACACATCTTCACTGCTCTAGAGACCAGTCATGCAGTGCTTTACACCACTGCATCCGATGCTTTGCATTGCACTTGGTGATGTAAGGATTGGATGCAACTGCTTGGCCATGGAAACCCATTCCATGAAGCTATCTACACACTGTTGTGCTAATCTGAAGGCCACATGAGGTTTGGAAGTCATTAGCTATTAACTCTGCAGACAGTTGGAGACTTCTGCACACTGTGCATGTCAGCATGCACTGACCCCGCTCTGTCATTTTAAGTGGCTGAGCTGCTGTTGTTCCCAGTTGCTTCCACTTTGTTATAATACCACTAACAGTTGACCGTGGAATATTTAGTAGCAAGGAAATTTCATGGATGGACTTATTGCACAGGTTGCAACCTATCACGGTACCACGCTTGAATTTACTGAGCTCCTGAGAGAGACCCATTCTTTCACATATGTTTGTAGAAGCAGTCTGCATGCCTAGGTGCTTGATTTTATACACCTGTGGCCATGGAGGTGATTGGAACACCTGAATCCAATGATTTGGAGGGGTGTCCCAATACTTTTGGCAATATAGTGTATGTCAAAAGATCAAGTTATGTTGACCATTAGTTACCTGACTTGTTGACTTCAGTTTAGGGATGCACCGATACCCTTTTTTGATTGGTGAGTACGAGTATCAATACTTTCAGTCAAGTACGTGCGATTTGCATCTATACAAAATGTATGGATGCAAATTGCACCGCAAAGAATGGCATGTGATTTGAACAGGAGTGTGGTACGTGTCACAAGTTAGCCTGCAGTTTCTTGTTTGTGTTCTTATCTCCTTGCTGCAGTCCTGTTCCTGATCCCTTCTCTGTGGCCATGGAGGTAATTGGAACACATAAGTCCAATGATTTGGAGGGGTGTCCTAAACTGCAGGTTTTCTGGTCGTCAGTTAAAGTGATATCAATGGTCCTTTTTTGTTTTTTGCTATGGGGCCACTTGTGCGGGCTCACTCCTGAGACCCAATCTGTGATCCAATGAGCCACATAGTTAAAAGAGCTAAAGTAATGGCCAGAGAACAGAGAGAGAACTCTTACATTGTATATCCCTTTTGTCCTTTGTTCACTGGAAGTTTGTTGTACACAAGAAAAATTCCAAACCTCATAGTGCAAAAACCCTATCGAAGTCTATGGGAGCAGAATTGTGTATTTTTTCTGGCTGTTTTTAAGGTTAGTTTACAAGCTTTTGTGTGAACAAAACTGCAGAAGTAGCTGGGCACTGTCATGGGAAGCATGTACCATTGCAAAAACCATATAAAAAAATAGGTCTTTTAATAAAGCTTACAGGGCAATAGTAAAAATATACAAATGTGTTAAATAACATTTTTATGATATGATGATGATGGTGCACCTGTAGGAGATATTCCATCAAAAGTGACATTAAAACAAGAAAAAAAAACATTACAATTTGAAACAAGCCAGAGTAAGGGCATCTGGCTTCATTTAGTGGTGATAATGCTGTTATTACACAAAGTACTTCTGGTTGCAGCAGCCAAAGCTTCTAGAGAGTAGACAAGCTGGGCAAATCCTTATTCAGCAAATTTTGAACAGTTGCTCATTCCTAGACCTCAGATTACAAGAAAGTGAATCTGTTCAATGTGACTTTTAAAAGGTATGCTCAGGACTGAAATAACCCAGAGATATAGATTTTTATTAACTTAAATGGGCAAAAAGGGATGTGTAGGACAGATTATGAGAGAAAATTATTAAGCAAAACAGGACATTCTTTTAGAGTTTTATTTTGACAGATCTCAGCCAATGCACATTAACCAAATGTCCCATTTGTGATAAGACAATGCATATAATTCCACTGATATTGAACTATTGACTTTTCCTTCTTATCTTGGATCATTAATTAACAGCAGGTATTATGCGAATTGATTAAAACAATTGAACTACATAACGATTACAAGTGAAGTTTACATGTCTCACCATTCTGTGTAACCAAACAAAATCACGATCATGGAGAAGGTCACCTAAGCAAAAAGGAAGGTGATAAATCGATGCAATGACTCATATAACCTGTTTGTAACTATCTAAGTCAAGTAAATGTCACATTAGAATTAATTTTCATTAATTACACAAACATTCTTTAACAGATAAGCGTCCTTCACGTGTTTTGCTTTGTTGAACACAAAAGCTAAGAGTGACCATGCATGAATGGCAAGTTAAGGCTGGTATATTACCTGTCACTTACATTTAGTACCTAAAGTGGAATTTTACCCATAACAGTTTGATAGCAAATAATGTTTTTTACCAAAATACATTCCACATTAATAATTATGCTACCAAAATTACTGTATTCTATAAATTGCCTACATCATTGCTCCTGTTTTTTCTTGCGAGAGGTTGTCATTTTGTTGAAGCCCAGAGCAATCACTTCCATAGTGAAAACTCTTCCCCTCTCCGTGATTTCAAAAACTATAGTGTATGTCACTTTCTGTAATAAAAATGTGTACATTTCCAGGTTTGATTGTACAGTATGTCTTGGCTCAGTTACAGAGAGGAAGGCTGACAGAAGCTTACAGTGGTGAGGTTCGCAGGCTGATGAGGGAGAAAGGGGAAAATATTAGGGATATAAGATACGATACTGTCTTTGTACGTTTAACTCTGTATTGCCTTCCTGGCAGCAGAGTTTGTCCTTTTCTCCCTCCCTAATCTGGGTTCCCTTGTCAGAGTCTGTGTCATTCCTGTTGCTTTCTTCCGCCTGCAGCAATAGTGAATCCTACAGCTGCCAGCTGATCGACCTCTAGTGGCTCTGATTTTAGGCAGAGTGCAGATAGTAGTGAGCAACTGAGCATGTGCACAGCAGGGTGAGCTCCATTACTGGATTTTAAACAATATTGGCTTTTATTTTTAAGATTTTACATAGCTAGACCTGTAAAAATGGCCAGTATGAAGTGATCTACCAGGACTTTACAAAGAATATAACAAAATATGTAAAAAGGAAATCAAGGCTGCAAAAATTGAAAACAAACGACAGATTGCAAAAGATAGCAGGACAAACCCCCAAAAATTCTTCAAATACAGTATTAGTAAAAAGCTTGTGTTGGAGCATGTAGGCCCTTTACAACATAATCTTTACCTAGTAATTATAGACCTGTTAGTTTAACTTCTATAGTTGGGTAGATACTGGAGAGTTTAATAAAAGACCACATTTTTCCACTTGCTGGAAAAAAATAGTTTAAGTAACAGACAGCATGGATTCATGAAAGACAGAAGTTGTCAAACAAATCTGATTTCTTTTTATGAGGAAGTGAGCAAAACCTTGGACAGAAGGGTGGCAGTGGACGTGGTATACTTGGATTTTGCAAAGCATTTGACACAGTCCCCCACACATGGCTAATCTGTAAGGTAAAGTCTACAGGCTTGGAAAAATCTGTATGTAAATGGTTAGAAAACTGAGATCATATTCAGAGAGTAGTGGTTAATGATTCATACTCTGAATAGTCTAGGGTTGTCAGTGGTGTACCCCAAGGTTCAGTGTTGGAACCCTTACTTTTTAATATATTTATAAACAATATAGGGTTTGGGATTAAAAATACCATTTCAGTCTTCGCAGATGACACCAAGCAGAGCAGTAGAATAATTGTTCTTACAGGATGTCTCCAACTTACAAGCCGACCTCAATGCACTGTTTAACTGGGCAACTATGTGGCAAATGAGGTTTATTGTTGATAAATGTAAGGCGATGCACTTGGTGGCTAAGAATATGCATGCATCATACATACTAGGGGGGTACAACTGGGGAAACCAATGGTGGAGAAGGATCTGGGAGTTCTGGTAGATCACAAGCTTAATAATGGCATGTAATGCCAAGTTGCGGTTTCTAAAGTGAGCAAAATCCTCTCTTGTATTAAAAGAGGTATAGACTCCAGAGAGAGAGAGAGAGATATCATTGTACCCCTTTGCAAACCATTAGTAATACCTCATCTGGAATATGCAGTTCAGTTGTGGGCACCAATTTACAAAAAGAACATTGGGGAACTGGAGAAAGTGCAGAGAAGGGCAACCAAACTGATAAAAGGCACGGAGGACCTCAGCTAGGAGGAAAGAGTAGAGGAACTGAATTTATTCTCTCTTGAAAAGAGGAGATTAAGGGGGGATATGATCAACATGTATAAATACATCAGTGGTTCATATAGTGAACTCAGTGTAAAATTATTCACCCTGAAGTCATCACAGAGGACAAGGGGGCACTCTATGTCTGGAGGAAAAGAGATTTAATCTCCAAATACAGAAAGGTTTCTTCACAGTAAGAGCTGTGAAAATGTGGAATAGACTCCCTCAAGAGTTTGTTCTGGCCAGCTCAGTGGATTGCTTTAAAAAAAGCCTGGATTCTTCTAGATACACATAATGTAACTGGATACTAACATTTATAGGTAAAGTTGATCCAGGTAATATCCGATTGCCTCTCGGGGGATCAGGAAGGAATTTTTTCCCCTGCAGGAGCAAATTGAATCATGTTTTTTTTACCTCTGGATCAATTGTGGGTAGAGGATTATAACTTTTTTTTTTGTTGAACTGGATAGACTTTTTTCAGCTAGACTAACTATGTAACTTAACTTTCTGACTAAAGTTCCACTTTAACATGCTAGCATACTGGTTGCATTAAGTCTACTTTTTTGTTTAAAGCTTGCTCTCTACTGGGGATGAGGTTCATGTTCATCACTGCATGTGGTTTTGGCAAATCTTACATACAAAATTCCTGGACCTGGTGAAATAATGTAGGGGTTTGCTAGGATTAAAAATGTGTAAAAAAAAAAAAATCAAGAAAAAGAGAGCTGCTAGCACAGGTTTAAAGATACATAACCTTCAACAGACAGCAATACACAATGTGCAGCGCTATCATAAAAATGTGATACAATATTCAATACTATATATATATATATATATATATATATATATATATATATATATATATATATATATATACACACACACACATACAGTGGATATAAAAAAGTCTACACACACCCCTGTTAAAATGTCAGGTTTCTGTAATGTAAAAAAAAAAAGAGACAAAAAAAGAGACAAATAAAGTCAGAACTTTTCCCATCTTCAATGTGACCTATAAACTGTACAACTCAATTGAAAAACAAACTGAAATCTTTTTTTTTTGGGGGGGGGGGGGAGTAAACATGAAAAACTAAAATAATGTGGTTGCATAAGTGTGCATTCAAGGAAGCAACAAACGAGCGCTAGGTAAAGTCAAATAAGAGCAGCTAGCATAAAAGGTAAACCCTTCTCATACATATATCAATAAAATATGCAACGCTATATGAAATGAAAATGAGTAAAAACTATAAAATAAAAACCATTAAAATCTACAATATGAGACGCTACAGAGCGCCAAAAACAACAATTGCGTGATTAACATCCAGGCATGACATATAAAGTGCTCAAAGTGATGTGATAAATAATATTAATAAGTCCAATA